TCTGGTCTATCTGGCAATGGACCTCTATGGATGATGGTGGTCAGGTGGTCGAATGCCCTTTGGCCTCGCCAATTTCCCCGGCAAGGGGACTTTTACTTTTCAACCGGAGATTTAGTTTGTGAAATGAGATATGGGCGGGGTGACCATATCTCATGCCGGCGTGTAAATTTGTGGCAGCTCAATTGAAAAATTGCTTTGTTATTCTCAATTTGAGGCTCTAAACAGTTTTAGGCACTATGCGTCGGTTTAATCACAAATTGCGCACAAAAGAGCGAATACCATTTCGGTATACCTCTGGCCCGGGGTTCTGATTCTGATGGGTGCTGATTTATTATTATTATCATTATATTGGGGTTGGCTGGCTGGCATCTCGCTGAAGGAAATGGGAATTGAGGGTGACACAGTTTCTGTGGTTTGCTTCCAGCTTATTGCCTGCAGAGAGCTAACTTATCCACCGTGCTGGTATTTTGGATGATCCATGGGTTGGACATCTGTTTAGGATCAGTTGGTGTCAGCTTGGTCAGGGTGAAAGGTTCGGTTTGGTGCAAGGTCTGCCATGTCGACACTTGAGACTGTAAGTTGGCTTAAATAACTTTTATTTTTTTAGTAAACTTTGAATTTTAATAATACTTATAAGTTACAAAATTGATTGCTTTTCCCATTTCAAAGTTGAGATTTATTATTTTTCTAATGACATACCCGGAACACCTTGTCCCATTAAATTTTTACTATCATTTGGAGTTATTGCCTGAAACCCATTAGAGGGTTAACACCAAAGGAGCTTTTCTATTAACTGGACTTATCACTAGAGAAACCCCAAGAGAACTTTCCACTTAACTCAGTTTATTTCACAGATAAGAATTTAACCACTGCGTGCACTAGCCTACAAGATCGCTGATATCTTTATCTTTTGAAACATTGTCATATTTCGACAGACAGTATCTCGTTTTGAGTTATTTCTCACGTTCTGGTGTCTGGGCCAAGTCAACGGAATTGCAATAAAACAGTCTAAAAACACTCCACCTCCCACGACCCGGTTGACGCCGCCGGAGGCAGGCAAATGACAGAGTCAATGTTAATGTTAATGCTCCACCGCTGCCATTGCCAAGTGCGAATGTTTTGCACGGTTACGGAGTGTTCAGGGGCTTTGGGGGAGTTAAGGCAGTACTCGAGCGGGTTCCGAGAGCTTTGGGATCGAGATAGAGGTTGGCTGAGCGGTAAACTTTTGTTTTAAAATGAATGTCTGACCAGATTCGCGCTTTTATTCTGTGCCCGCCAATCGCTCCACAAACAACTAGCCAGCCAGCCAGCCATCCAACCGACCACCGACTCCGGCTGTAAACGCGGCGTATACTTAATATAATTGTTTTCCGTGTTTTCCGTGTGTTCCCATAGTAGGTTTAGTACCATTCGATCGGATAATGACGCTGGCCGTGATTAGCGGAACGGGCGCAGCCTGTGATATAGTAAGTGCCTCGTAAGCGTAATATATCCGAGAGTGTTTCTCAATTGATAAACCCAATTGCATGATTGGTGCAATCAACAAACGATTATTGTGGAATTCGGTCGGGTGGATAGTGACTATTTAAAATTTTAAAATCAGTTTAGATCCATATAAATTATGTCTGGTTAGGCAAACGACGACCATTAATAAGTGATAAAATTTTAATAATGAAACGAATCTATACTTTATGAGTCATTAGATTTATTTCTTGAACCGGTTTACAAAATTTTTGCAAGCATACATACTTTTCTTTTGGGTGGGTTTTATCCCCTAAATATGCAATCGTTCTTTTTTTTTCAATAAATATGAATGTATCCTAATCGTTTATATTCGATTTTAATAAATAGTAGATATCATACCCACATAGTATGTATGTATTACACACTCCAAAGGTTAAACTGTCAATAAATCTCTAATAAATCTAGAATAAATTATTTCCAACTCATTACTCACAATTATCAATTGAGCATTTTGTGGGTCAGCTGAGAAACCAGCTAAAACTACATATTTTATATTTAGACTCCTGTATATCACTTGAGAGGGCAATTAGGCGCAGGGTAAACACGGCGGATGGATGATATTATGGCAGCCTTATCGGGTGCTCCCCTGTTTGTTTTGGGATTTCGGTGAACCTGCGGCAGTCATCAAGTGTCCGTTACCTAAGAGTGACTGCTCCATAAAGTGGATCAGTGGAGAATAATAGAATCGGCATTGGCAGCAAGTGTAATTAGGCTTAAGTGCTCATTAACTAACCGCGTGGAGATAACTGAATTACGCGAATAACAATTTAAAATATATATTTTTGGCAACATTGTCGGTTGGAAAGTGATTCATTGCCCCGCCCAGTATTTATAGAAATATCTAAAAGTGTACCACCAGCCTTTAATCGGATTTATCAATCGAGCGGTTATTTTTGTCGGGAAATACATGGATTTTTAATTAATTTAGCATGCAAGCTGTTTTTAGTCAGAAGCGGGTCCTCAGATCTTTCTTCCTTTCCATTTATCGGCAGACAGAAATTAATAAATAATAGCGTCACTGGCCGGCCAGGTGCTTGGTCACTTTGTACCCTAAACCCTGGGTTATTTTGGCTTCTATGCAGATATCCGCTGTCTTATCCGCCAGGTGGTTTCTTCGAAGCTTGAATGTTAGCCCAGTTATTAGTGACAGTTCTTCGGCGGAATAAAGCGGTTCTGTTGACCTGTTTTGTTTTCTAAAGGTCCTTTAAAAGGTGAGCAATATTGTGAATCTGCATCGACAGCTAAGTGAAAAATGAATCTACTCAAATCCGCATTCAAAGTCAACAACCTGAGCTCGATCGCTTTATAAAGTGTCATGTTTGGGGGCTTTTGCGAGCGGCAAGTGTTTTTGTGAATGGCCCAAGGATTTACGTTTTGTGAGTGATGAATTGTGCGAACTGTGCTTTGCATGTCAAGTGGAGGAGTTTGTGGGACTTAGGTAATACCCGTTCAGTGGGTTTATCTTTTCTTTTTGTTCCGTTTCGAAATGCATATTTTCAGAGTGATTTTATTGTCAGAAATTGCGTCAAAAGAGAGTATGCTTCTTTGTTTCTGTGTGGAATGAAACCCGTTTAGCGATTCCAATTTTAGGGTGCGTTTTGGCTGCTCTCTTTTTGCATTTTATTGCATATGCAAATTGCTTAAATAACACGCTTGTCAACTGCCAGAGATTCAGATTGCGATTCAGATTGCTGTAAATTAGCGTTCAAGTACAACTTGCTTTTAATTTAGCTGTGAAAGCTGCATATGTTATTTTTATGTTTATCTATAAGTTAAGTAGCTAAATCTGTGTAGATCGGCATCAAAGGTCACATAAATTAAGGAGTATTTTGCGAAAACTGTATAAGGTGTTTTTGGTGCGAGGGGGGCGTATGAGCAATTTGATGGCGGCAGGAAATACACGCTGGCGCCATCTTGTGGTTGTTAAGTTAGGACTGCATTCAGGCAACCAAAAGATGGCGCTTGAGTTTTCAGTGCCGAAAAGTATGCAAGCATTTTGGATGAGCCTTTGAAAATTATTTTTTAAATTTAAACGATATTAATGAAAGAAGATCGGTTGTTTCTTGTTAGCGCTGGAGTGGAAATTGAGACGTTGACTGATTGGCTAAATTTTCTTCATTGATACATGAATAAATTACTCTTCATTTCGATTAAGACTACCTACAAGGTCTCACCCTGATCCACAATCGAAGGTTCCTTCAATCTAATCCCCTTGCCAATTGGCATTTATCGCAAAAACTCGGTCAAGTTTGAGAGAATTTGCCGAGCTAGCGAATCGCGGGAGAAATCGTAAAAATTTCCATAAATATAATTCGTCAGGAATTTAACCACTTTGAACTGGTTTTTCTCTTTTCTGGGGGTGTGCAGAGGGGGGCAGGTGGGGGCAAAGGGGGTTAGTGCCCGGGCCGTAGACGAAACATCAGACGTGCAGTTGGCGCACGTTTCGAGTTACCCATAAATAAATGCGACGCAGAAATCAAATTGATTTCAATTTCAGCAAATGAGTGATCCGCACTCCGTCTTTTCATTTCTGACAAGGCCCTTGGGATGAATTTTTGGCAATCAATAAATATTCGATACTCGCCCGGGGGTCGCCACTTTCAATTGGCAGCTAATTGTGGCATTCCCGCTACGGGAAGATATATGTATCCATCGTCATCTATATGCGTCTTATCGGGAAAAAATATCACTAATTAATTAGGTCTTTATCCCGCTCTTATCTTCAATGTTTGCCAAACTGATTCATTCAATTGTTGGGACAACAAAAAAGTTATTATACTCATAATCAGATAACTCATTATTGAAATATTTTGTTATACATATTTTATTGTATAGAAATATATAAAATAATTTTCAAAATAAAAATATTTGTTATCAGTTTAATAATAAAAACCTATTTCCCGTTCTGAAATTCAAAATAATTTATGTCATAAAAATACTTTAACAGAAACTATAAAAATTTGTTTTCCTTATCGGCTTGAATAAAAAGTTTTAAATGTTATACATTTTGTGAGTTTATTACAGCCTGTGAGTCATTTTATTTGAACATAATATATTTCTTCGTAAACGTACGACTGCCAAATACGGCAAAATCTATGATTTGGAGCGGAAGTGAGGAAAAAGCTGACCTACGTTGTACTTTCCTTAAAAATGGCAACCAGTTTCCTTTTAGGGTTGTAGGTGAAAGTCTGAAAATCAATGCAATATATTTAGAATTAAATTTTATTTAATTATATTTTAAATATATTTTAATATATAATAAATACAAATTTTAATTAAAGCACAGTTATGTAGCACAGTTATCCGATGATAACAAAATGTCAGCAAGGGTTTGCTTTTCCTCTTAACGGGGCTTTCCCGCCCCTTTTGGGAATTTAGTTTTTCACCACACAACCCGGTGGTGGGAAGTACTACAAGTCATCGTGGTGATTTTCCCAGTGACTGTGGGTTCTACTCGACAATTTTAGCGCAAAGGTTGGCATTCTTGCTCTGTTTTTGAAACTGTGCGGTTGGTTGCCGGAACAACTCCGATACAGAACATTAAATATAACTATATATAGCTCGAAATCGAAAACGAATCGAATCGTATTAAGCACTATCTCTGATTGCAATACCGATTCCAGTTCCGGTCACGGTCTCTCTCGCAAGTTGCATTAGTAATATTGCATTTCTTATTCTTATTTAACAAAAAAAAATATAAATATTTTTGAAAAAAAAAAAAGAAAATTAAAGAAAGCAATCTCTCACTCTCAGCCGAGTCTCAACATATGCTATTAAATATCTTCCATTAAATTCTATTTTGTATCGAAAAAAGTGCTTGGGAGCCGTCCAACTCGATTATCGAGTCTACTCGATACGCGCGACAGGATCGAAGCCCGAAACCCCAACGGCCCGATCCTGTATTGGAATCGTTATCGATTGATCAAGGATTATCATTACCGTTATCGCCATGAGTTTCCATAAGAGCGACTCGCGGACGCCGCTGGCGCCCACAGAGTACACTGTAAGTAATATTATTATGGTTTTTTTTTTTACGATTCTCTTAAAGATTTTGGTTGGAAAGTTCTAGAAACCTGTAACCCGTGATGGTTTCAAATTTCACCAGAGTGATAATCAGAAATTTTTCATTAATCTTCTAACTACTTGGAACACAAATTACATGTCACTGTCATAGCATTTCCTTTTCTTATAAAGTTATCAATCAAATAGCCGCCTATATGATATCATAATATTTCGCAAAATTATGATAATATTTTCCCGTTGGCAAAAGTTTAAAGTATGACTGGTCGGGTGTTTTGTTTGGCTTAGACTTGGCTTTTTCCACGGACATGTGATGTGACAGCCGTTCTCCGGCTCCGAAAAATTCAAATCGCAAAGCCAGCAGTCTTAACTCTTTAAGGCCTTGTTTATTTATTGATCGATGGCCGCACGTACTTTCCTTTGAACGATTGTTTATGCAAATCTCTGGGTTAATGTTTGTTTGGATTGATAACAAACTAAAGCCTAATTTCGGGGATGATTTTAGCGATTTTTTCCGTTTTTTGAGCCTCCTGGCTCACCTTTATGTCCGTGTTGTTATGAGTAACCTGGCATAAACAGTTTTTCACCCCCGCCCGCATAGGTCCCTTCGGAATTTTCCACTCAGTGGAATTTTCCGCTCGCCGCGCTGCACTTTTATGTCTGCCCGGACTTGCCTTTAATGGATTTCTTTTTTTTTGTGTAATTTCTCCGGGGTATAGGGCATTTGGGCGACCGGTTATGGCTGGTCCGTCTACCTACTGTGTCAGCGATTTTCGGGGTTTCGAGTTCACATTTCGAGTGCCCGGAATGGAACGTTTTTTTTTTTTTTGGCTGCTGCGCAAGCGCCAAAGTTGCAAACTGGGCCGGAATTCGCTGAATCGTCAACAATTATTCACTTCACTGTTCGGAGCTCTTCTGTTCTGGCACCGATTCGAACCCTCCACTTTGGGTTTCGGATTCGGTAACTTTCCACTGGGTGTTAGGATCGAATCTATCGCTCCATGTCACTGCACTTCCATATTACAGCAGGCGGCACTTGAAACCCGACCTGGAGAGCAAAGTACTCCAATATACTAGTATTAGGGGCATAAACAATCAATGGGGTTGTTCTGGCAATCGCCAAAGGCAGCCAATCCGATCCTACAAGATTCAGTTTCGCCCAATGACCAATCTGGAAGCTATTTAGATCGGATTGGTTTCGGTTTTCCACTCAAAGAGGTTTCCAATAATTGTTATGATTTTCTTAAAGCTTTCTAAAAGTTGTTATTTTCTGTCATTAATATATACACTCTAGAGTCTAGACTCTAAAACAAATTTTTGTATTTATTGGCTCGTAAAATGGCCAATAAATTACCTGGTTTTACGACATATACTTAAGTTATAAAAGTTGGGAAAAATCATGGGATTGATCTATTTCCTGGTATGGTACTCGTGATGACTGCAATGTTGCAAAAAAAAAATTTATATCTTATCTATTTGGTTGGAATTGCAGGCGCTGTGAGTGGCCTAATCATCCCGCCACCCCAAATGGGGGTCCGTGGCACACCCTGGTGTGTATAAATAGATCACTGTTTGATGTCGGCTGATGGCTAATTGACAGATTGCCTACGATTTTCACGGGAATTGAAACATCGGCCACGTGATACACCCCTCGCCGATGTCGAGTGTTGGAATTCAGTTCTCGGCTTGCAGTGGCTTTCGTTTTTTATGCGCTTTTTTGTCGTTCGCATTTTGCAAACAAATTTAAAAATTTTCCATTGCAATTTGTTGTCGTATGCCGTTTTTTGTTTTGTCTGTCTCCCCCTAGCCACCAAACCTCCATACAACTTCCACTTCTATTTTTGCACTTTCCGCTTACATAAGTTCATCGACACGCCAGGTTGGGGGCAGTTTCGGAGCCTCTATTGATGAGATTGGGATCGGGATGAGATACTATCGTTTATAGTCATATTTGTGTATTTTCCATTCTCTACAGTTGACATTGCTAATTGGAAGAACACACACAGAACTGCAGTTCACCTTAGAATGCGTCATTTTTCTTGGCTTATTCATGAATCACTTAGAGGGTTAGAAGGGTCGAAGACTGCATATCGACATGCTCGCGGAAAGACGTCACCCACTCCAGATTAGTCACAATATCGGTGGAGGGGGGTGGATGGCTTATGGCAATATAAACAATTGCAGGCTACCGAGATTTTTTTCCCTCCAGATAACGCCCTGTAATTAATAGGGTTCCTTATCGCTATCGTTGGGGCGGTGGGCGTTAAAGTCGGGAAATACCTGCCATAAACTATACTTAAAATTTTCACCGAAATGACAGTGAATGATTTGAGTTTCCAGCGCCCATGATTCAATAGTTTTGCGCAGTTCCCAGTCTGCGGATATTATCTAATATCTAATAACTCATATCTTATGTGTATTTGGCTAATTGAACTAACCGCTATTAGCCGATAACCATTTCGTGATGCCCTGCAAATGCCAATTCGTGTGCCAAATTGCCCATCTCAAAGGGTTTATCTAACAGAGTCTAAACTAAATTACTTAATTAAATGATATATTTTACAAAAAAATATATATGCATCTATAGTCGACCTGATCTAGTTTTCCATTCTTTTTCGTTATCATTCGCTCATTATCAATGCAGAAGCCTCGTTTTATTTATTTTCCGTCCCTCATTCGTCATACATTTTGCAATGTTCGCACTTGCCGCCATTTTGAACTTGAGTTGGCCAGCGACACGTGTTCCCGTAGTGGGTCTGCCTGCCCCCCTTTTGTAGCACCTTACCCCACCGTACCCCCTCACTGATCAAGCCAAAAATAAAATGCTTTCCCAACTCTGTTTACATTCTTTGGCATCGACACGTTTCTGTTTTTTGCAAAAAAAAAATATTAGAATGCAATAAAAAAAAGTGCAACGCAGTTAATGATTTCGGCTCAGCACTTAAAACACTCGAAAAAAACCAAGGAGCAATAAAAAAATTAAAAGCTTATATACACATTTTAAATATATATCATGGGCAATTGGAACCCATTTTTTCCCTCAGTGTAAAGACTCCAAAGCATTTGACAGATTGAATAACTGACCGTAGGAAAGTTCTATTGTGCAACTGACAATGTGGCGCTTTGTCGTAATTAGTCGCCACTGCAGCTGTCTAATTATTTTCCTATCTATTTTCAAGTTCTAACTTTCAGTTTTCCAACCACACACCACTTCTCTTGTTTGCCCTTGCATTTGCGTATTTTATTTTGTTTGGTTCTGGGTGTCTTTTGAAGCGGAAAGGGGCTTTTCTAAATCGGTTAAAATTGGGTCTTTAGGCGAGTTTCGGGCATATTTAGAGTCTTAAAAGGGGGTCAGTGAAGCATGATGGGTAAATATTAAATGTGTTGAATTTTTGCAGCTTTGCGGTTTGGTTGCTTAAGAAAAAAACATTAAGGAATCTTTAGGCAGTTAAAAATTTAAATGATTAGAAATGTTAGGCCTTTAGCAGAACATGATCTATTAGCGCCATCTGTTGATTAATGCTTAAGCACTCATATAAATATCTGTTTAAATAATTATTTATTATTGATATTTAATAAAAAATTATGTTAATTCATTTTTAACTTTAAAACATAATCTTTAAAACAACATTTAAAATAAAAACAAATTTCCCACGTAAGAAAATGTATCTACATTTGTATATTTTACATGATCTACAGTAGAGCTGTTAAAAGTTTACATTTCCTGTTAACTAACAGTGCTTGTGCTTCTGCCGCCAAGCAACAGATGGCGCCTCACAATAATTAAGAGTACCTGTTAAAAAAAATAAAGAAAACTATAATAAAAACAAATGAACGTAAACAATAAACAAGCTACTCGACATTCTGTTAAATGAACAATTTGCTACAATTTTTTATTTTCGGCTTTTTGCACTGGTTTTGCACGTATTTGTTGCATAAATTCGCAGTTTCCTCATTAGCTTGACGGGCATCGTTTTATTTTGAACGCGCTGAACGGTGAACGAAATTCCGCAAAAGCAATTTATATAAAAGTCTCATGAATCCGGCTCCTTCCGCCCTCGGCCCCCTTACCCGGAAAACCCCCATTTCAGCTTTTTCTCACGTGTGGGTAAGAGAGAGAGGTTGTTCGGAATTGTGACGTCATGGGGAGACTGCACCCAAAAAAAAAAAAAATAAAGTATCAATAGTAAATAAATGCTGGGGATCTTGCTGGTGGTGGCGAGTGGGTTCCTATGATCCCACTCAAGAGCAGAAATGGCGCTCATTCTATGATCCGGTGGGTGGCAGTGGTGGTGTCGGTGGCAGGTGGACGGGTAGGCAGGCGGTGGATTCTGGGGAGGGGTGTTTTTTGTTTGTCGCCGTCATTACAGCGCTGGCCGTGTGGCTGCTTGCCGCCTTGAATCAGTTGCTTTTTGTCGCAGTTTGCAAGAGTCACGCGCCGAGATTCGTGTCCAACGAATCCCGCTTCTCCCTTGGCCGAACTGCGACGCCTGGAAACCACCGCTCTGCCGCCCACCGATCCGGCACAATCGTGACCTTGGAAGACCTCAAGCTGAACGCGCCCACCGGAAAGCCGCCGCTGCCGCCTCGTCGCGAGCAGCCGCCGCCGGAAAAGGGTCAGAGCCTGAGCCTGAGCAGTTTCTCCGGCTCCACTGGCTCCCTATCCGGCTCCGGTTCGGGTCGAAAGTCTGGAAACACCACCCGCCTCACTGGCGCCGCCCTGGCCCGCCACAAGCTGAAGATGTCCTTGAAGCGAGGAGGACCTCCGCCCGCCGCTTCGAGCGGTTCCGGCGTGATGACCACCTCACTGGATCAGCAGGTGCAAAAGTCGAGGGGAGCCAAGAAATAAAATATTGCGCATACGCCACCGGTTACCTGTTGCCTGTTACCTATTACCTATTACCTGCTACCTGATAGATGATAGTTAAAAAATAACAAAAAAAAAACCAAAAAACATACAAAACAAACTGAATAATAGCAATGAAAAATCGAAGAAAATAGTTTGTGTCATAAAACTGCATTGAACTTGTTCATTGATCTTGTTTTTGCGTATTTTTCTGCTTTCCGCTTTTTGGTCACAATTTATCGGTTCTCCTTTTAATTTGCATCTGAAACTGCGTTGAGCTTTACATAACATGCTCTCAATATTCCTTTACTCATTTTCTCAATTCAATTTTCCGAAAAACTTTACAATTTTCCGTCGCCGTACTCATTTTTGGCTTTTCTTTTCGCCCGATTTCCCTCTCTCTTTTTTGCAGAAAGTGCCCACGGTCGCCGCGGGCTACGGAGAATCGAACGAGAAGCCCAAAGGCGGCAAAGGCGGTCAATCCAAGTGAGTATCCGTACGATCGCGAGAATGTCATATTCCCCCATTCCGTATCGGTCGGGATCGGTTAGATGCGACTCGAGAATCATTCCTCTGGTCGATGCCTTAGGCAACGGCCACGTTGTTAGAGTATTCTGTTGTGAATCCGCATCCGATCCCGGTCGTTCGCGATGTACAAGAACATTGACAATGAGTCCTCCACGACCATGTTTGAAATGTACTCATCCTCGGATAGGTTCATACGATCGGACATGGCTGATGTGCCCGTCCAGCAGGCGGCTGGATCCACCCTGCCTCTGGTGATAACCCGGAAGAAAGGCGGCGATGACTCCGAGGATGGCAACTATAATCCGTTCGAGCACCGCAAAGTGGAGCATCCCACATCGTAAGTAATAGTAGCTTTTAAAAGATTTATCACTGATCTCTAAGGATCTAAGTGTTTCTTTCAATAATAAGTTCTTTCAAGTGAAACCTAGTTAGAAATATTAACTAATATAAAGTCGGTACTTTTCATATTTAGTATTAAAAATATATTTTATTTAAAGTTTTATAAATTTAATTATACATCTAGTTAGTCTCAAGAGCATTCTTTCAGTATTCCCACCCGGATAAGAGCTGATCCTCGGACCATTAATCGCTCAATGACTAATCCCCTTAATTATACACCCCCGTTCACGTCATTGACCTTTCACCGAAGACTTTGACTTTATCTTAAGAGACAAAAACAAAAAAAAAAGAAAATAGAAAACGGAAATGCAATTGTATTGACATTGGCCTTGGACTTTTTGGCAACTACTTTTTCCAAACTAAAAATAAGTAAACTCGCAAAGAAAATCTCGGACGAACAGGCTAATAAAAGCGAGAAGCCGACAAATGTGCTCGATTCGTTTAGAATGTGGAATGAGGAACCCCATTTTCCCCCCCTTTCCGATTTTCCTTCTTTGAAAACTGATTTTCCCAGCCACTGTGAGAGGAAAACGCATCCGCCAGACCTTGCTACAAAATTGCGTATGCGAATAAACTGACGTTTAGATGCAAATTTTGATCAGATCACAGAAATAAATATTATCTTTGGATTTTTACATTAACCTTTTAATCAATTGGCTATGGATAGATTTTGGAAAAACCCTAAATATTTAAAGAAATAAAAAAAAAGAATAAAGAAAGAAAATAATGTAAGGCCTCACATCACCCCATTCCCAATATTATTTTTTTGGCAACTGATTTCTATTTATCTTACAGCTGTGGGAAGACAATTATATCTGTTTTAGAATTTTTAATTAATTTATATAGATAGTATTTAACTAATTTTGAAAGAAATATATTTATTTATATATGATATTTATTTATAGGGGATATTATTAGGATTATAGTCTTGAAACATTGGGTTTATGGGGGTTGTTAAAAATTATAATTGTCATTAAATTAAGAAAATTAAAATAAAAGCAAAAGTTTCAGCAATAACCTCTTAATTTTTAACTTTTTTTTAATTCAGGGACCTCGAGACATTTGTTCACCTGCTTAAAGGATCCCTGGGCTCCGGAATCCTTGCCATGCCCATGGCCTTCTCCCACGCCGGCCTGTGGTTTGGATTGGTGGCCACCTTCGCCGTGGGCACTCTCTGCACCTACTGTGTCCACATCCTGGTCAAGTGCGCCCACATCCTGTGCCGGCGTCGCAAGATCCCCATGATGGGCTTTGCCGATGTGGCCGAGCAGGCCTTCCTAGACGGTCCTCCCAGCCTGAATCGTTGGTCCCGCTTCATCCGGTTTATGGTAAACACGTTTCTGGTGATTGATCTGCTGGGCTGCTGTTGCATCTACCTGGTGTTTGTGGCCACCAACGTGGAGCAGGTGGTGAAGGTCTACGTAGACATGGAATGGAGCATCCGGATATGGATCCTGGTTGTGACGGCCCCTCTGATCCTGATGTGTTTGGTGCGAAACCTTAAGTTCCTCACGCCCTTCTCGATGATCGCCAACATCCTGATGTTCGTTGGCATTGTGATCACCTTCATCTACATGTTCTCCGACCTGCCGGCTCCCGCCGAGCGTCCTGGCATTGTGGCGCCTCCAGAGTGGCCGCTCTTCTTCGGCACTGTGATCTTCGCTCTGGAGGGCATCGGTGTAGTCATGTCCTTGGAGAACGACATGAAGAACCCCACTCACTTCATTGGCTGCCCCTCGGTCCTCAACATGGGCATGGGTCTGGTGATTGGACTGTACACCCTGGTGGGATTCTTTGGCTTCCTGAAGTACGGACCCGAGACTCAGGCCAGCATAACTCTGAATCTGCCTTTGGAGGATAAGTAAGTTTAAGGATATACCTCTGATACTAGACAGAGACTTGATTGATTTGTTCTTCTTTCCAGATTGGCCCAATCCGTCAAGCTGATGATTGCCATTGCCATCTTCTTCACCTTCACGTTGCAGTTCTACGTGCCAGTCACGATCCTGTGGAAGGGATTGGAGCACAAGATCCGGCCGGAACGCCAGAACATCAGCGAGTACGGTCTTCGTGTGGCTCTTGTGGTAAGTTTTTCTATAAAATGAATAATTAAATAGAGGTTAATTGAACCTTATTTTTTAGATCCTGTGTGGAGGCATTGCCGTGGCCCTGCCCAACCTGGGACCCTTCATTAGCCTAATCGGAGCCGTGTGCCTGAGTACGCTGGGCATGATCGTGCCGGCGGTGATCGAGCTGGCCGTCTACCACGAGGATCCGGGATTCGGGCGCTTCAAGTGGCGGCTGTGGAAGAACTCCGGACTGATACTCTTCGGTGTGGTGGGCTTCGTGGCCGGCACCTATGTCAGCATCCTCGAGTTCCACGCAGAGTTCAGCGGCAAACACTGAGAGCGGCACACGGTGCTCGGTGCTATTCTATGATATGCTAATTTAATTTAAATTAGTCTTAAATGAAACTCTTCTAAGCACAGGGATGTCTAAGCTAAGTTTTTAACTAATTTTAGGGCTAACCAAAGTTTTCTAGTACCCCTCGAAACCATGAACCCCTCCGCTTTGGCCTTACCCTTCACCATTCACCCGGCTTCCTTTTCGACCCCTTCCGCCGATCCTGTCCTTGCCATACCAAAAAGAAAGCAAAAAACAACAAAAGTATTTCGATTTAGTCGGTGCCACCACACCTTGAGTGCTTGCGCTTGAGGTGCGGCATTAAGGTTACTTAGAGAATTCTTGTAGACGTGATTTTGTATCGTAGTGATTCTGACAACAACTTAGTCGTTAATTTAGTTCCTATTCGAACTAAGCCAAGACAGACGGACGAAGCAGCCGCAGTTTGTTTTGTTCTTCAATTTGTTTCGTTTTTAATCATTTGATTTATGCTGTACATTATCGACGCCCTATTTCAATAATCATGACATATTACAAACAATACCAAACAAAGACCCGCTGCCCCCCAGGGGTAGCAAAAAAATTGCATTAAAAAAAACAATAAAAGCTAATAAAAACAACCAAATTGGATTTGTTTTAACTGAAATATATCGGAGTTGTTATTGCATAAAATATGGAATTTATGAGGGAGGGAATGTGAATAATTATAAAGGCTAATTATCACAAATTAAAGGCCTTTTAGTGGATTGAATCACGGTTTCTTAAAGTTATAAATTCTCGGGCTGTTTCTATTAATATATCACGAAAATGTAGCATACTTTTTGGCAACTCTTGTAACATTCATGTGTAAAATGATGTCAAAGAAAAAGTTATTATTTAATTTATTTATTATTAAATTAATATTTCTGTATTATTGATACCAAAAAACTTGAAGCACTGTTATAAACATAATATAACACAGACCAACAAACATACATAAGTCCTCTCAAGAGGATCACCCGACTTTTCAGATAGGACCGGACATAGCCATCAGTGTGGGCCACACCCAATTTTCAAGGAATTCAATTTTCCAGGATTTTTTGTCCTCACGAAAAATGGACAAAAAATCGAAAAAATATTTTGTCTGGGGACTTTTAAGCAGAATGGTGGCGAATCGAACCAGAAATCGTTTAAGGTACTCCGCTTGAGAATCGGATGAGAATTGAGAAGATATAGCCATCACAGTGGGCCATATAGGGAACTCCCCATTTTTAAGGGATCCCATCACCAAAAATGGAAAAAAAATCTAAAAAATATTTGGTCTGAGGATTTTTATGCAGAATAGTGGGAAATCTATCTAGAAATCGTTTAAGGTACTCCGCTTGAGAACTGGATGAGAATTGGGGAAGATATAGCCATCACTGTCATATAGGAGACTATAGCTGCCATATAACTGCAATAGAATTTCCTACAAATTCTATTTTGGGCCATATGATCCTATAGCTAAGTTTATATCCTATATCCTATATACATAAGTGAAATTATTAACGTATTACCCAAAAAAAACATTATTTAATAACTCTAAGTACCAAATCCATAGGATATAAAGTCAGCCCTATTCTTCAACTTCCAATCATACTTATTTTGCAAACAACCTTGGGCCTGTTGACATTTCCCAGCGCCTAGTTGGGAAGGCGTTGGTGGTCGCATTCGAGCTGCTTGGTGTTTGATTTTCGTGGGGGGATAAACAATTAACAAACACTTGATAGCGAATCTTGAGCTAAAAAAAGGAACAACAATTCGCATTCGAGGCGGCCGGAGGCGAAAAGCTTTCCCACGCTACTTGAGGCGATTTCAGAAATCAAATTAATATGTGATATGAGGCGCTGAAAGCAGAAACGATACGAGCCGAGCAAAGGAAACTCAATGCGGGGCAGATAAGATATTTATCCAGGTGCTGGCTGCCTCCTCTCGCGGCCGTAATCACCCACGAAAAAAGTGAAAAAAAAGAAATATATGAGTAAAAAGTGTTGGCAAAAAGGCAGCTATAAAAACACGAAAAAGGCAAATGTGCAAACGCAATTCAATTCAAGCCGTGGTCCGTGGTCCGTGGTCCGAGGTCCGAGCAACTGAAACTGAAATTGAACCGTGAGAAAATTACACCCACAGATAACACAACACACCAGAAATGAGTAAAGCCAGTCAAGGGCCAGACGGGGTATCCATAAGATACTATACTGCAGAGATAAGCGTTTTGCATTGTGACGCAATTCGATGCCCCGGCGAGTGGACTGGGCTAAGAGGTGTGGGGTTCTAGCCGACTGTACATACATATGTATGTGTGTGTGTGTGTATCTGTACAATTGAAAAATTACTATTTACCCAGCGAGAGTTTAAAGTTCGTGCCCAGGCTGGCAGGCATATCTCAGGCGTATCTTGGCGTATCTGGCGGATACGGATACGCACACAAGAGCTGCTCGATAAGGGGCAGCAGCGTGTGAAACCAATCAGAAACCCGTTGATTGAGTTCCGTCTGACCCGCGACCGAGAGTTCTCGGTTGCCCACTCACATTCCCACTTATGGAAATGCAAATCAGGAGCAGGCCCAGTGCCACAAGTGCCTTTCACAGATCTGGTCAAGTTAATAGTTTTAATTAAATTTTTGTTAATTTAAGTGAGTTTGTTGTAGGCAAAGAGTTTTCTAAAATAAATATTGTATAAGCCATAAACTAAAAATGTAGAAAGATAACCAACCTGTTTAGCCCGCACTGTATCTTAAGGATACTTATGAGGCACTCTTCCGTGGCTCTGATGAGCATCTGATTAACCTTTTGTCTCGTCATTTACTCGTCGCATAAATCCTTTGACTGGCTCCTTTTCGATTTGAACTTCTGTTCATTTGCAATTTATGCCTGGCTCGTCCCGGCTTGGTCCGGCCCGCCCCGCCGATGGCCAAATCGATTTGAAGACAAAGTCACCGCACCTCCGCATCGATATCCTACGGACAAGTTTACTTTGCTTTCTAGCCGGGCCTCCACCTGCCCGATCGATGGCCAGATAAATGGCATTTTATTAGCCAGCTACTTACCCGGCTTACACCGACTGGGTCTTGGTAAGTCCCCAATGGCCTGGCTGGCAGCTTAATGTCAGTGGCACAATGTTTGGGCCATGTTTATTGGGATTAGTTGCCTGAAATTATGACCAATTTGTCGGGTTCAATGAGATGCAGCTCCGTCCGCTCCGTCTGCCTTTTAGCCTTTCAAGTCAATTGCATGCAAAGTGGATACTGCCTGGCATCTTCGCACTGCCACTTTGGCCACTTTAGCCCCTACAAGGCTCTGTGCTCGCGCACTTATTTTGCGTACATTTTTGGCAAAACAAATAAAATTAAAGCCTTAAACAGATAATGCCCCATCAACGCACTTTCCTACCGCCTCCATTCAATGCAAATCTGGGCGATCACGATTAAGGCTGGGTTTTTGGGGAGGTTCCAGGTTCGGAGGGTGGAGGGTTCGGTTAATAGAAAATTTATAATGCCAGGCGGGCCATAAATTTGCCACATCCACCCACATGCAGCCTGGGAGCCATTTTGTGTGGGGCAGGCAGCAGGCACCAGGCAATAGGCATAAAAATGTTGTAATTTGCAGTTGACAAATACGAAAACTCCTTGCCGAGTCTGGGATGCAAAAATTAACTCATATTCCATAGAGATAGTACACTAAACAATATTGGATAAAATAATAAGCTTAGGAGTTTCTATAGGTAATCTTTTATTAGAGATTCTAGTGTTACTTGATTATAAACTCTACAAGAATAATTTCTAAGCCCTTATAAAGATGAAAGTTTATATTATTATGCTCCAAATAATCTTTAAATTTTTTAAAAATTTGTTTTAGAATCTTATAAAATCTTATTTCTCTCAGTGCTTAAAAGGAGCAGAAGCAGTATCTGCTCGAGGAGGCCCCAATGATTTATGCTCGCAGTGCGGCCTACGAAAATCTGTAGTGATGAAGAGGTGGAACTGAACCGGGGTAGGGGCCAACAATAGCAAGGGGTAGTGGGAGGTAGACACTGCATCCAGCGAGAGTGTTTTCCGTCTCCTCCCTCCCCATCCCCCAGCCTAAAAAAAAAAAAGAAATGAAAAAAAACAACATCCCACTCTGCAGGTTCTCCTACCTGTTGTGGCTGCGCCCCAGGCTGCAATTGTCTGCTTAAAAGCGCTCATTCTGTCCACAATGAAGCCACATAACTTGGCCGCAGTTACCGTCTGTTAGGCCATGGCCCAAGCCCCCTCCACCTCCCTCTGCCCAGTCGGTTTTCCGTTCCCCCCGCCAATGTGATGATTTATAGTGGCTGCGCCTGCAGCTCCCTGTAACCCTTGGTTGCTCTCCTCCTTGGTTCCTGCTCCTGTCCATGCCCCGATTCCTTTTGCGATCCCAGCACGGTAGCTGGTAGTCTGCTCCTCTTGCCGAACAGCCCGAAACCGAATTGAAACTTTATTTAATAAGTTGATGTTATTTGTTAACTGCGAACTGCGAAGGCTGAGTTATGAGGTCCGGGCAGGGAACTCATCTAATATGAACCTAAAAAAAAGGCTACAAATAGCTTTAAAAGTTAATGGTATAATGAGGACTATTAACTCGAAAGATTAATTTCTTTCCTCACATGATATCCGCAAACTTTGAATTGAGAATCCCGGAGTTAAGTCGGCTGCCTCTATTTGACCCCATTGGGATGTTCGGGACCTTCTCCACCTGCCTAATTCCTGCGGCGATTTGTGCGTGCGTCAGGTGCATGGCATTAGAAAGTCGGGGAAGTGAAAACCGAACACCGAAGGCAGGATAGACAGGCACTTTAATCTGAGCCGCGGCACACTTGCTGACAAATTGCTGATAAATAAAGCGAGAGATTTGCAATAATGCCTTTCTAATTTCATGCGTCGCCATCGATGTTGCACACTCCTTGCATTTGCCACCTAACCGCCTAACCACCTATCCTCCTGGTCACTTGCTATTGGGCATGCAAAGCTTACTAAAAAAAATCTCCAATCCTGGCATGGCGCCTGCCTCCATTGGTCCATGGTCTGTGGCCCCTCGGACTTGGATTTAAACATTTTCCACACGTAACGCGAAAGTTTGAATCATTTGTCCGGCGCACTACGCAGCGATTTTCATTTAAAATTCTTGTCACAGACATGTAATTGCAACGCGCCAACGTCGACGAGTCGATTCCAACTCGATTCCAACTTGGATCTGACTCCATCTGTGTGGGGCACTTGAAGAAAATGAGGGTGACTTTGTCCATACTAGAGATCTTAAAGTTAGAAAGCCTAATTATGAAGGGCTGGTAGGTTTTTATAAATATTTTTTATCTCTTTTAATTATAAAATATATATCTTAAATAATAATAATATTTCTCTTTGTGCAAACGGATCTATAGGCTATTGACAAAGCGTTTGTCAAGCTCAATGGCCGACGTTACTGCCTCCTCCAAGCACCCTGCCGCAAGCTGGCGGACACCCCCGCCAACCCGACACACCCCCGGCCATCTTGCTAGCACTGTGTTGACACAGATAAGTGCGTGGCGGCGGCATCAACGGCGATAAGTAGCGTTTTATGCATTAATTTCTGCTCAAAAGAGCATTATTTATTACGCATTAATGCGCTGAATTAACGTTTATTTAATTAATATTAATGCGACCGTTGTGCTCTGCGGTTGCAGTTGCAACTGCCTCCGCTAGATGTTGCAGCTGCCAACTGGCTTTTTTGTGCTTTTTGACGTACATTTTTGGGTCAACTTTACAGCCTACTTGTAAAGGAGGATCAAAAATATCTATAAGGATTATAGATATACTTTAAAAGGAAATTATCATCTTGTATTCCGATAATGAGGTCATTATCATTTTTGATCATTTCCAGAACCCTTTTGAAACCCCGAATGACCCTCGAGCTGTGCAAATATTTTACTTCAAGTGGCCGTTGATCTGGAATCCCAAAATCGAATTTCAAATTGAAATCGAAAGTAAAGTCTTCGGGCAAACACACATACTTGCTTGCTATATGGATATGGCAGAGATATGCCTGGAAAGGAAACGAAGTGTTCTCGGATGGGCAAATATTTGGGCTGCACCGATAAGGAGGTGGTATGTAAGTATGGTTGTTTTTGTTTTCCTTCCAGAGTAATCCATCAGTGTCAATGGGGGCGGGGGCGTGGAAGTTGCACGGATCGGCGAGCAATAAACCCAATAATTTATAGACCAATCAGGGGACCCCAGTGCACACGCACCGCGAACAAGTGAAAAAATCATAGTCCAAACACACATAACGCATTAGAGGATCCGATCAGATCGTCGTCGGTATTGGGGCCTGGAGCTTGGGGCTGGGGCTGGGGGTGCAATTTATAGGATAGACACCGCACAGCGGGTTGTCGCGGGCCGGGCCGTGCTGGCTTGAGGAGGATGGTGCCACGAGGCGGCGTACTTGCCTCATTGCCAATTGATTTATACAAACGGCAAAGCAACGGAACACAAATTGGTTGCCTCGCGGACCAAACCGAAACTGGCTGTGGGAAATGATTTGTGGCACTTGGGCTGCAATCACGGAGTTGCGTACGCAGAACTCTTCGGTTCCTCGACTCTTTCTTCCTAGCTGCTTAACCTCCTGACCTCCACCCTGGGAGGGATTTCGAATGGGCTGCTGCTGCCTCGGGCTGCCGGCTGCCCCCTGAGCTGCACTGCACGTGTGTGTCTCTCTCTCGCTGATTTGGTTTTTTCGCGGAAAAGCCTTGGAAAAACTCAACCTGCCCCATCGATCGCTTTGCATGCCGGCTGCGTAGCTAATTAGAGCCTTAAATGGCCTCCAATCCCCCGGCGGAAAGTGAGATTGCCGCCACCGAACAGCCAGGCGTTGGCAAAAAATGCCACACAAATGACACAGACAGACACAAACATATGTCCAGACATGTGTTGCACGAACGCTGGCCGGCTGTCCATTTTGGGGCATCGATGTCGGGAATCCGAATCGGACTCCGGACCAACACACCAGTTTATCGGGGCCGAAAGAGCCAAAACAATAAATTACGCAATCCGAATGCTCAACTGCAGTCCATCAATGGCATAATGAGGCAGTCTCCAAGATTCCGAGTCCCACTCAAAGTCCCAGTTGCAGTGGCAGTTGCAGTTGCAGTTGCAATCCCGTTCCCGGTTCCCAGTTCCCGGTTCAAGTCCCAGCACAGATGCATTACCATATCGGCATAAATTCCGGAGCACATCGTTAAGTGGGCTGACGTGCGCTGTGGAACAGGTTGCCGCAGCAGCTTGCCGCATGCCACATGCCAGACCCCCTTCATCGATTGCCAACTCCCACCGCCGCACCGGCTTATGAGGGAATTGCTGGCCATGCCAATGTCAAAGCCAAAGCCAATCGTCATCGATAATGGCCAAGTCTCAGTGGCCGGTTGAGGGTCACAAGTCAGGGTGACATGTGTCCTAACCTTTAAGCTTTAAGTAAGCATTTAGCTAAATAAATTGATCAATTTTTTAAGTAACACGCCAACAATTATATTTTATTGGTAAAATTATTAAAATATACAATATTACTAGAAAATTGTATAAATTTTGTTAAAAACACAGCTCGCATTATATAGCAAAGCTTCCCCGTTGAAGGGTATACACTTCCTTCCCAATGAAAGGGAAAGGTATGTCTGGATGATCTCTCATACCAGAGTATCATCTTCAAAGAACCGTAGAAAGGCTGGAGGCGCTTGGGCTGGAGGGGCAACCACGGTGGTCCCCAATTCAGTAGTCACCTCCGTGGTTGTGGGCTCGGCTGTTGTCTTTTCTCCCCACTCATTGATCATTTCTTTGATGGACGAGTGGCTTCCGAGAACTAGAACAAAAGTTCCAAATATTATCAGCAGAATGTCCTTGACTAACTTCCACTTAAGCATGCCGTAATTATACTCCGCCGGAAAGAGCAGACAAATCTCCATAAAAGCCGGGAAAATGATGTTCAGCAAGGAGATGGTGAAGGCCCCCACAAGCGTGAGCAGGGGTCCGAGCTTAGGAAAGGCTGCAGCATTTATGGTGCTTATTAGAACGAAAATGATCCGCACGATGTACTCCTTGAGAACGGCGTGTTGAAGGTCGCCGTTTCTGTTCCAAAACTGGTTCATAATTATGTCGATTACCACGTATCCGCTCAGGGGATAGGTGAAGAAGATGGCAATCATAATGAAGGTCTTGGAAATTTGGGCAACTCTATAATAAAATCTCCATTAATACGAGTTAATCTTAAGTTTTTGAGTAACTCACGTTTCCTCAATAGGCAGGTTAAGGGTTATACTTCCTTGAATTTCGTTTCCAAACTTCCAGTAGCCCATTACCCCAAAGAATACATACGATATGATGACAACCACTACGGCAATGTCTAGGATTCCAAACCATCCGATGTACTGTTCTGGGTGTTCCATTTTGGCCTCAATGGCCAACATCTACGGTGGGGGATAGGTTCAAATTTAAAAGGTGTTCTTTCTTATATGGTTCAAAAATAGGAAAGGAAAGCAATGTTTAACAAATATTGCAGATAGTTAGACAATCTTTGATGTTAATTCAGAGCAGAAATTTTACACAGCAGATTCAAGAGCAACTCTGACGTTTTCTATCGCTTAGTACGACAGATTAGTATAAAGAAATTATAGTTTAACTCTAGGACGATGGACTTACCACACCCACAGACGTGATTGAAAACAGTGCTATGCCAAAAAAATTTGGTAGATAGGAAACTTGACCAAAGAAAACAGCTCTATCAGAGATCGGAGGCAGATCCTTGAATAGGTAGTATATAATACAGGTGAATCCAAGGTAAATGCAAATGCTGGCCAGTAGGCTGAAGGGAACGAGCCACTTGAGGGAACGGATCATAAATGGCGCCATCATAAAAAGTCCGACAATTGCCACATAAATTCTCACATTTAGTTCTGTGACGTGAAAGTCGAACATTTGCTTCAGGTTCTCGCTGACAAAAACCAGGTACACAACACACACACCATAGTGTGAGGTTATGAGGACAATGTAGCATATTATAGCACCCGCCTTGGCTATACACTGGAAGAACCTGGGTCCCTCGCTAAGGGAAAACTTCATAGACAGCGGAAAAGTGCAGTATCCCATTTGTTGGCGCCTAGCACATTCAATCATGCACATAATCTAAAAAAAGGATTATTAGTTCTAAAGTCTGCTTACAAAGCCTCTTACCAATAATTGCATGCCATGGATGAGTATGAAAGCCACGGCAATCAGGAGGATGGTGCCACAAATGATTCCTGCATAGTAGAAAGCCAAGGGCAGAGCCAAAATTCCAGTACCCACAACGCATTTGAGTAATGATATGAAAGCTCCAAAATTTCTATTAAAAATATATAAAATACATCAGATTTTTGTGTATTTTACGCGGAATGTATAGTTCTTACGACAAGGGATTTTCCACATCGCGATGCTCGTAAGGATTGTAGCCGCCTCTGAAGGGAATAGAGGAATGGTTATTAATTCTTTGATATTAATGGACTTTATATCCTTACTTATCAGCCATTACATAAATTTTGAAAAAAATATAATATATATATTTCAGTTTAGTTCATACTATGCACTCATTGATTCAAATAGAATAATAAACTGAACTTGACATTGCTTTGAAAAGTGACATTATTTGAAAAGTAATAAAGTAAAAACCTAAAAGTTTAGATGAACTCTAGAACAAGGAGTAATCACAGCTGTAAATGCACGGTTCTGACTAAAATTAGAAAATTGTGCCTAACTAAAGGACTGTGTAAGAGAGGGTACCTATCCAACATGAAGAAAGTGCATAGCTATTAATGACCAGAGTATTCCATTCTAGGATACAGTCGGAAACCATGGCTTTATGGCTATGGCTATGACATTGAAAAACTTTGCTTAGAGATTTCCAGAATTTCCCATAAATTCAAAAACCCAATCAAACCCAGAGTCAATCGTTCCAAAAGAAAAACCTGTATTTTGAAATTCGTATAATACATATGTATATTTATTTTAAGGTCATATTTTAGAAAACGCTTTAAATTTTAACAAACTTATGCATGCATTTACATTCCGAAAATGTACAAATATTATCAAAGACCCTTTCCAAATTGTTAAAAAGCTCATCCCGCTGAGTTCCGATGAAGGGGGTACACTTCTTCTTTCCATTTACAATTTTAACCGAGAGTTTGGATAAAGAGTGGAGCATGTCAGTGATACATTTTTGTTTTAAATGCTTTTCAAATCGTTGTGGTGTAAGCGTAGGTCCATTGGATTACGTCTTATAGAGCGAAATAATCCGCAAAGAACCGGGCTACGGCTGCTGGGGCTCTTTCCGGGGACTCCGTCGCCTCAGTTTTTGAGTCTTAACCTGCGACTGTCGTCGTCTTAAAGCCGGGAACCCATGCCCGGAACATGTCTCTGATTGCCTCATAGGTGCCGTTTACTAGGATAAGAGTGCCAATAACCATCAGTGCAATATCCTTGATAAGCTTCCACTTGTATTTGCCGTAGGTGTACTCCGGGGGATAGAGGAGACAAATCTCGATCAATGCCGGGAAAATGAGGTTCAGCAGGGAGATGGTGAAGGCGCCCACAAGGGAGAGCAGGGGTCCAAAATCTGGAGCCATGGCGGCATTTAAGGTGCTTACCAAAACGAAAATCAATCGTACGATTAACTCCTTGATTATGGGGTGTTTTAGCTCCCCGCTTTTGTTCCAATAGTGGGTCATTATAATGTTGATTACCACGTAGCCGCACAGGGAGTAGGTGAGAAAGATGGCACACATAATAGACACCTGCGAAACTTTGGCAATACTGCAAATAAAGCCTCAATTAATACGGGTTCTAATATTCTAGGTTGATAACTCACGCTTCCTCTGTAGGCAGATTGAGGCTCAAAGCGGTCTGTATATCATCTCCGTACTTCCAGTAGCCCATGACTCCAAAGAATATATACGAAATAACGATAAAAACTACGGCAATGTCCATGATTCCGAACCATCCGATGTACTGTTCAGGGTGCTTCATTTTTGCCTCAATGGCCAACATCTTCGGGGCAAGAATAGTTCAGTTCAAACCAGTGTAAAAGTATAAGTATGTTAAGAACGGATTAAAAGTTGACTTACCACACCCACGGAGGTTATGGAAAACAGGACTGTTCCAAAGAAAGAGGCCATATGTTCAACTTTTCCAAAGAAGACAGCTCTCTCAGTGATCGGAGGCAGATCCTGGAAGATGTAGTAAATCATGCAGGCAAATGCAACATATTCCAAAATACTGGCGATCAGGTTGAAGGGAACCAGCCACTTGAGTCTAGTTATCATAAATGGCGGAAGCACAAGAATCCCGACAATGATCACATAATATCTTAGGTTGTCAGAGTCTCCGTATTTAAATTTGAGGATTTTCTGTAGGTTTAGGCTAACAAACACAAGGTACACAACACATACACCGTAGTGTGAAAATATGAGGACCGCGTCGCATATTATGGCACCAACTTTAGCCCAACATCGACAGCACCTGGGACCCTGGGAAAGGGCAAACTTCATGGTTTCCGGAAAAGTGGAGTATCCCATTTGTTGTCGTCGGGCTGATTCAATCATGCAAATAATCTAGAAAAAGGATTCAGGTCTAGACAGCCTGATCTAAACCTTTACATTAAAAATTTACCAATAATTGCATGCTATGGATGAGCATAAATGTGATGGCTATTAGCATGACGATGCCAAAAATGATTCCTGAATAGTAGAAAGCCCTGGGCAGAGCCAAAACACCGGTACCCACAACGCACTTGACAAGCGATATAAAAGCTCCAAAATTTCTTTAAAAAGATACAACATAACAGAGTTAAGTTAGACAAAAAAAAAATAAATCTTACGACAATTCGTGCTCCACATCTCTATGGTCATAAGGATTAAATGCGCCTCTGTGAAGAATATGAAGATGGTCATTATCTCTTAGTGTCTAAGGATCTCACACTTACTTATCGGCCATTTCTGAAAATTTTGAAAATGTACAAAAAAATGTCTGTATGATACAATGGAGTTTTTAAATGTGAAAAAATAAGCTGAAACTGAACATGACATTCGTTGCAAAGCAACAAACTAAAAGCGCAAAAAGGGATACTTTAGATTTAGGGCTTGCAGAGTGGCTACTGTACCGGCCACACCGCCTGCGAATCCCATGAAAATAAAAGTAAATGAACGAACGAGCCGGACATTCCCCGGTCCATATCCTTCGACGTAGCTGACGCAGAAGTCCACGATTCCGGGAAAGATTAGACCCAGTTGTGCCAGGCAAAAGGATCCGGTAAGGGAGAGTATCAGGCCGAAATCCGGATACTCAATAGCCACCAGAACCGAGGCAATGACCAGGGCGATCCGTACAAGCATTTCGGTTATCCTACCGGAGCCTTCTTCTAAGTTTGGCTCCAAATAGCCCTTCCAAATGATGTCTACCGTCACAGAGCCCTGTAGGGCGTAGCTAAAAAATATTCCCAGAGCAAACAATCCTGATACTAGCTGGACAAGGCTGTTAACAAAAATATATTGGTAGTTACTTTCCTTGGATTATAGTTAAGCTAGAAACTTACGTATCACTGGTGGGTAGATCCTGTAATATGGAATTGGAGGTATTTTGACCAAAGCGCCAATATCCAAGGAAGCCAAAGGCTGCATAGAAAATGACCACCAAAGCCATGGCTTGATTAAGGATTCCACAAGGACCCAGGTAACGCTCAGGTGTTCGCATGTTACGCTCCAAAGCAAGTATCTGTAGAATATGTTACAAGAGTATTTTAATTAACTTGAAATACCATAAGACATCTTACCACTCCAACAGATTCGATAGCAAAAAGAACTGTGCCAAAAAACAAAGGCCACGTTTTCAGCGGCCGAGTAGCAGGGATGTCTGCAAAGTCGGGAAGATCCCTAACTAGGTAACACAAAATTATGACATAGCCAAAGAACATTAGAATATTGGCTATCAGGGCGAATGGAACCAAGAACTTGAGGTTGGGAACCAGAAAAGTCAACACCAACGGAAAGGTGAGAAGAGCCATGTACAGCCTTTCATCCAAAAGCCAATAATGCAGATCCAGCAAGTACTTCATGCTCTTGGCCACAAAAATCACATATACACAGAGCACTCCGAAGTGGTAGGTACCCAGAAGAAAGTCAGCTAGAAAGCTAATAGCTTTAAACAATTAAAACAAATAACTTAAAGGCAATTTTAATAAACCAACCCCAAGGGCTTGGCAGCGAACTGAAGACATCGAGGACCTTGGTTTACAGCGAATTCCAAGGTTTTCCGGTAACTCAAATAGGGGTTTCCATGGATTTTTCCCAAATGATGAATATGTTCAAGCTATAAGAGTACAAAATTATTAAGAATAATGGGTTAAAAGCTTGTTTTTTTTTTTTTACCAAAACATTCATGGCGTAAACTACCAGAAAACTGACTAGAAAAGTGCTGACTAGGCCAGTAAGCCAACCCGTATTGTGAAAGGCACGAGGCATGGCCAAGCAACCTGTGCCAAAGGCACATTTTATCACATTTATAAAAACTTCCAAGTTTCTAAAAATATTCAAATTTAAAAATAAAAAAGGGTTTTACCAAAGTTGTTACTTACGACAGGGGATTGTCCACCCATTTAATGTAGGCCACAGCTGGTCTAAAAGATATAACCAAGTTAAGAATGGAAAAATGAACCAGAGCTCACCCACCTGAAACTCCTTTCGACTCCGCCCAGGAGTCGCGCATGGAAGGATAACTTCTGCTGCGGACACCGGTGCTTACTCTTGATTCTGCGCATCTTTTCAAGAAAATTGAATCCCTGGAAAGGGAATAATTTCTGTATCTTTTTCGTTTCGAGAGGGGAAATCAACGCCGACTTTGGTCTGCAATTATGCAAATGTGGATCACAGATCCCTCGGGTTACGGCTGCCGTTGAGATCTCGAGAATCTGGGGCTGGGCCAGCTTCCAGGAAGGGTGGTGGTATTAGCATGGCCCAGAGCGGCGACTTCTTCCACGAAATCGGTCTCTACTGAACAACTTTGTTGTGTGGGCGTTTTCCGCCAAAGTCAAAGCCAAGCCATGGCAAGAGCCAATACCAGTGGAATTCGCTACCTAAATTATGCAATTGCCTTGGGGCAGTTGGGCAAACTAATTAGTGTGGCCAGTACTGGCATTTTTCAATGGGATACCTGGCCCCTCCCCACCCACCTGTATTGGCACCTGGTCATAAATTCTCCACCGAGGGGGAAGGCACAATCTACAGTTTCTAGTTAAGACTCTTTTTATCATTGTGTGGGGCCGATTCCCGCTGGTTCTCCTACCTTTTTCCTGGCGGCCTCGAATCGAAAATGCAAATTTTTCGCCGCCCCACGTCCATGACAAGTAAGTATTCGTCTGGGGCCAAAAGTCAACTAAGCATTTGTGTTGGCCAAAGCCTTGGTTCTGCGATTAAATTGCACTTGTTGCTGGCTTTAAATTCTTTAAGAGTGAATATTAAAGTTAACACTTGGATATTTTTAGGAAAAACTTTGGAAGTACCATTCCTGAATCATTATCAACCTCTGGAACAGGTGATTTTGGTTATCATAAATTGTAATATTCTCCACTTTGAGAAATAAAAGTAAGGTATATGGTCTAGGGACGGCCGCCAACCCCTAAAATTCGTACTATTTTATACATAGTTAAACGTTTAAGACCACTAATCCCTATTATATAGAAACTATAGAAACTAAAGAAACCTTTTTTTTGTGCGTGTAACTAGTGAATGGTTAGTTGCAGCTTGTGCTACTGTGCCAGCCGTTGATGTTGCAGTTGCAGTTAGATGTGGCGCATCATTAAAGTGCAGACAAATGGCAGCGCGGCATGTGCGGCACATGTCAAGCTGCAACACAAGCTCTGGCAACAGGTGAAAATGCTGGAATTCTGATTATCCGCTGGTGGTTGCTGTTGTTGTTGCCACTGCCACTGCCATTGCTGCCTCTGCTGGTGATTGGCAGCAACTTAAACTGTAACTTTCAACGATTTGTCGTCGTTGTCGCTGTCGTTCTGGCTGGCTGGCTATTTCTTTGGCTGCTGCCACTTTGATGTTTGGCCACAAAACTATCGGCCAGACAGTCGGCGCAGAAAAATGCGCATAATTATCTGCCAGCCAGCCTCCTGCCTCCCTGCCTGACTGCCTGCTGGCAACCTGCAACATTGGGTGCAACATTCCATACCCTGACACGCCCCCAATTCAATTTACAGCCGGAAGTGTGGGTGTATACTTATTTGATATACATTCCCCACCCGCCGCTCCAGCCCCAATGGTGTGTTCTCCTTTCGCGAACTCATTTGTTGGTTCATAAATCAAAAATCGCAGCAGCAACAGCAACTCCCGCATAAAAAAAAAACCGAAATCAACTTTATGAAAAACGCATTTAATGATTGGAGAGCACAGCAGCGAACGACAAGCAGCAACATCGAACAACAGCAGCAGCAGCAACAGGAGCAGGAGCAGCAACAGTAACAACAGCAACATAATAGGCCCATCTAGAGGCAACATTCGCAAAACCAGCAAAAAGTGGGAGGATGCAGTGAATTTTCTGCCCCAAGTCCGCTCCCCTTGTTGCTGCCACCGGATTGTGATGGTTTTTTTAATGCCATTTGTTGCTGTTGATGTTGCTGCTGTGCTGCTGCTGTTGCTGTTGTCGGGCCGTTTGCCTTTTTGGGGCCCGTGAGGCATTCGCCTAAGCGGCAGGTTCCTGTCTGCCCATCCCCATCCCCAAGCCCATTTCCAAGCCCCCTACTTCACATCCCGAATCCGGGGAGACGTTGACTGCATTTTTAAGCGCGCTCCGCGCATAAAATAAAGCCAGATTGCAGGTCTTGCCTCGGGGCCATCAGCCTCCTTCTGATGCCTTCCTTTTTGAATGGGGCGAGTAAAAGTGCAGGATGCTTTGTTGTCCTGCCCTCCAAACTGGCAAGCTGGCGAGCTGGCAAACTGGAGCTCCACCGCCGCTCCGGCTCTTCCACTCGGAAGAGCTTCTGCAGATACGGCAGCTAATTTTCGATGGGGCAACAAAATAAAAACAACACAAAAAGAATGGGCCATCTCGGAGATCTGGGAGCGATAATGATGCAGGTTAATCATTAGCCTGGTACGTGTATTATGCGATTATTAGTTGGGAAGGGGGGATAACCCCCGCCGGAGTCGATTTTAGGTGGGCGTTTTGCTTTTTGCATTATTCAGTAATTTCCCATTTCCGTTCGGATTCGATTCGTTGCATCCACATCCACATCCACATACATGCAGCCAATTTGTCAACGCGGCAACATGCATATGCAACATGTAAGTTGTCAGCGTTTTTTAAGAATCAATTGCCGCCCAGCAGCGGGCTGGAAATCCGATCTCCATATACGCCCGAGCGATCGCCTTCTCCGGCTGCCGTCTGTCAGTAGAGGAGGAAAAAGCCCCTCCGGAAATCTCGATCCCCAGCGCGGCAAAAAAAAAGTTATATGACCACCTAAGTCGAGCGAAAAGGCGGCCTTGAAAGGCAATATCCAAAGTACTTGGCAAAAATCATTGCAGAATTTAAATGAGCCACACACACAAACATATTTTGAGGGAAAAAAGCTGGCCCAACTGACGTGCAACATGATTTTGTAGGCGTGCAACATGCGCATGCGCAACAGCCGCAACTTTATCAGATTCTGCGCTCTTTTCAGCATTATTTCTGTAATTTTTTGTTGTTTTCTGTTTCGCCGGCATCTTGTTGACTGTCAATTGTTTGGTGGGCGTTGCAGCAGCAACTGGCAACTGGCAGCCAGCAACCAGCAACCAACAACCAGCAACTAGCAACCAGCAACAATAGTTTGGAGCCAGAACAGCAATTGTCCCACAGTCTGTAAGCAGACTTTTGGAGCTATATCAATGTCAACAGCATTATCACACTGCGCTGTCAATATGCAAATGCCTGGAGCAAACCCAGAGCAACAGCAACATAGCCAGCAACAACAACTGCACTTGCCAGTCGAAGTAGCAACTTTAACTGCAACAGCAACATTCTCCGCCGGGCCGGGGAAGGACAGAAAGACAAATAAATACTTGTTGCAGGCGATTGTTTTTACTGTGTGCGTATGTGACACTCGTTAACACGAAGCGAAAATGCGCGAAATGCGATATTTCACACGATTTATGCACGGACAACGACAAAAGTTGCAACTGCAACGTCAACAGCCAAAGCCGCAGGAGCAGGGAGCAACATTAGCCAGCCAGAAGACCACACGCATTGCCACAAGGTTCTAGCCACAGGGAGAGGGGCAGCTTAGGTTGCTTCAGGAATATGAAATACGCAGTAGTAGATCCCGAGAGCAACCCTCCATTTGTTCAACTTAATTTCGAGTCCCAGGAAAACCAATTGGAAAGTGAGAGGCCCTGGTTGCAATGGGAGTGGAATTTGTGGCAAGTATTTGCGGAAAGAGGTTAGAAAGGAAACTGATAGGTTAAGGTTAGAAAGGTTAGAAGAAAGAATGATAGATAGAAATATAGAAGGAAACTATCTTCTATCTTCTAAACTTCTATCTTTCTTGATAGAAGAAAGGTTAGAAGGAAACTGATAAAAAACTGATTAGACTGCTGAGACCATATCGTAAAAAGTTGCAATATTGCTGCCAGCTGGCAACATGTTGCAGAGACAAGCCAGTTAAGGAATAGGAAGCTGATTAGCCAGATCAGAGTTGGTAGCTCGGGCTGCTAATGGCCAAGTGACTCCGTTGAGATTTATGCGTTGCCAATTGGCAGCATCAACATCTTGCCCATATACATAATTGAAACGTAATAAATTCTGCGATGCTTTTCGTGCACAATTAGCGACTGCTACTCCGAATGCAACTGCCGCTGCGGATTGCTGAGTTGTGGATGCAACTAACGACAATTGCTGACCATTTTCATGACTCGCTGTCGATTATTAAATAAATAATTTCATAGCCCGGCTGCGTTTGCTGGTTTTACAAGCTGTAAAGTGCGAAATCAACACGCTTCATGCCAACTAGAGATCTCTCAGAAGCCCCATTCCTTTCCTGATCCACTGTCCAGGGTCCACTGTCCACTGTCCACCGACCACTATGTTAGTTGTCAACACAAATGGCAATCGCCGTTGATAAATTGTTGCTGCCTTGGGCCAATTATAACCGTCTTTGGGCCTGTCTGCCATATACCTGCCACTCAATGGCTGAGCAAGCGTCCTCCCTCCTCTTCCCTGCTATTTTGTCCGACTTGCAAGGCTTTGCATGCAGATATCAACGGGTTTCCTTACCCTTCCTGTGAAGCCCCAAAAAAGTGTTACCCGGCGAGTGCTTCCGGTGTGGGCGCAACAAAGTATCTCTCAGATATCCGATCTGAAATCTGATCTCAACTCTTTTATAAAATTTGTCAGTACAATGAAAAAAAAAAGGCGCCAAAATCAGCCACGTGCTACAAATTGCTGAGGTTGCAGGAAGAAATCAGAGAAAGCAGAATAGGGAGGAACTGAGACACAAATCCAAACACCCCCGCACCTGAGACTCCTGTCAGACGATCCATCCAAGGATCCCCTGCACTCCCCTGCTTGCATTTCGTCCTTAGCATCAGCTGTTCCCTTTTGATCCTTGGCGCGCGCTACTCCCAGTTCATTATTGTTATTATCTACGGCCCGGTGTGCTGTTCCTTATACAATAACATCTAATTTCCTACCTTCCCTACGGCTCCCGGCTACCTAAACGTCTTTGATTTTTCAGATTCCTTCAGGACATCCCCTGCAAGTAGCAGAAGAGGACAAGGA